GGGGTACGTGTTTCCTTGCAAGACTATGGCGTCAATGCAAGTGCTGCACCTCGAGGATAGCGCGGGTAGAGTATGGAGACGCATTCAGTGTTGCCACCCTCCAAGCCACTTCCCGTCCATTTTCAAGAGAAATTGACACGCTGATGGGATTGCGGACCCATTCTCCTCCCTCACGGAAACGATCGTTCTTGGAATTGAGAATACAGTTTGTTCCTAACTGATGTCATCAAACTGCGACTATGTAGGGTGAGATTATTGTGAAAGGTTTTTGGAAATCCTCAAAGTCCCTGTGCATTTTTTTCTCGAGTCCCAGCTTCATAACTGGCAACTCTTTACTAAATAAGTGAGCTTACCTGGAACCGAACCACAGTCTTTTTTGGTGTTGCATCTAACAGATCTTCATCGGAATCCACAAACAATGGGAAATGGCCATCCTAAAAATGGAATTTCCTGAGTCAACCTAAATTCTTCTGTTTTTAAGATCTACCCACCTTGAGAAAAAGAGGCACCAGTTCCGGTGGCCATATACCCTCGACGATCATATGCGTTTGTGGAACACGGGACAATCGGCCGAGTTTCACTTGAATCGCTGCCTAAATTCCAACTTCTCGAAAGTTGCACAAGTTTGCAGACTCTTGAGCGCATTAGCGTAAGAAGGGAGAAAAACCACATCGAAGAATGAGAACGAACAACAAGGTTGAATAATCACTGACATGAACAAGAGTTTCCAAATCGATATCTTCCATGATTTGGTCGCCAATGCCGATGTTTTGCCCGATGGCTTTGATCAGCTCCTTCACTTGCAAACTGAATAAAGTGTAGTAACATTATTTTTGTATAAGAATAATGTGGCACGGTGAAGCAAGCAGTAAGCAGGCACAGGGAGGAGCGGGTCTGAAGGACTAACTTCGATGGTCAGTAGTATTTTTGTGAATTTGGTCATTTCCAGGCCCTAATTTTGATTGATGGCTTGCTGTGCCCTTTCTGTTTTACATCATGATTAGGTACTTCCGTACCCTTCACAGAGGCACATAGTACCTTGAGAGAAAGAGGCGTACCCAGAGTGCGCCTCTTCACCGTTAAGCTCTATGTGCTCTATGAGGAGGCGCTATTCAGTAAAGCCGAGCCGCGTCATGTCTCCTCGACTGCACCCTCTCACCAAGAAAGCAATGTTACAACGTGTCTTGGTTAGACAGGACATGTCATTCTATTAGGGATCATTACTTGGCTTTGTCGTCAAATAATGATACCAGCCGTTTGGTGCAGAGCAGTGTTGATGGGGGACATTTTCATAAAATACTTACCCCTCAGCATCCTCTTCCTCTAGTTACAGTCCCCTTCATTACTCTCCTCATCATTTACCGGGAACGGACTGTCGGCGTGTTCAGCCAGTAAGTAGCGATGCGCACACCTGTTTGAAAGCCGTTCCCAGCCTTTTTGTTGAAACAACGTATGCGACAAAATTCGGTAGAACAGGTAATACGAAGAATCATAACGTACAGTAAATGTCACCTCTGCGTTACAACGATGGGGTGCAGAACGGCGCGGACGACCGCGCACAACGCAGCCGCACTGAACACCGCCCGCAGACAGTCCGTATTAATGACGGAAGAGTACCTACCATCCTATTCCATTTTCCAAGTTCCCTATCCAGTTTCTGTTCGGATTTCAGCGAAACTCCCACTCTTCCTACGAGAATACTGGCCTACGAATGAGTGAAGGTCATGGCTATTTAGCGGTGGAAATAGCACACGAGAACAAGCGCAAGCGCGGAAAGCCCTGGAAAAGTATCTCTTGCACACGGAAAATTTCTTAAGACAGTTCATGACCTCCCCCCCCTCCCTCTCGAAGCTACGAGCAAATGCAGCGCTCTCCAGTGTTGTGAATAGCGCGCGCAAAAGAAAAAAAATCAGTTATCAAAAATTTTCTTTCGCTAGCCAAGAACGGTCCCCTTCCTTCGCCGACCAGATACGAGCGCGCTGTGCGGATTCCACAGTGTGACGTGTTCTGCTCTCGATACACATACGCTTACCTTGGTTGTGATTACTGCTTACAAACGTATGACATTGCGCTACGTGATCCTTCACAGATTATCTCCCTACTCCAGGACGGAAAGAAATGAAGGCCAACAGAGAAAACATTTCGACACAACTGACACCGCCGTCATGATCAGAATTGTATGTTCATATGGAAAGCCTTCATTCGAGAAAGTGACTTGTAGTGACGGCTACAGCTTTCTTAACTACGAAAAAAGTATGCGCTCCCCTAATCACGTAAAATACCGATCGCCTAGATACTGGCACTTGTAAAAGGTGGATGCATTTTGAACACTCTGTAATAGCTCTGCTTTCCTTCAGAGCCAATCGAACAGTCCAAGGGTCGATCCATGGCCCCAACTCCCTTGCAAAAACAGGGGTCGTTTACACCATCAGTGTCAGTGCAGACTTTAAGTCGTTTGAGCACCGCTCACGCAACTGGACGTCGTCACGCTAATCCCGGTCCCTCTCGAGAGGAGCCTTTAGAATAACTAGTCCTGGGGATTAAGATCAGGGGAGCAGTGAGAACTCCGTCGATTAAGCGCATGGAGTTAGGCTTCAATCGAGTTTGAATTGCCTTGACCTCAAGGGTATAATCCTCATCTTGCTAGAATTTCTATGGATCACATATAAATGCAAGGAAAACTAGTTTAGAAAATGCGGTTAGAATCTATTTTCGGACTTTTCGCAAAGCGAATGAACTGGTGCTCTGCGGAAGCGGTTAAGCACATTAACTCAGAAGTCGGCAGATCCTTCTTCCAAATCTGACTACATGACAGATTATGCTTCTCAGATTATGCTGGCCGTAGAGCATTCTGAGAGACGGATACAGCATCGTTGTGCGAAACACGGGCGGGGGTCGTTCTTTGACCTGGCGGGGGGGGGGAGGGACGTAGTCAAGTCCCGCTCTCTGAGCAGAAATTTGCCGAGGTTGTGACAAACCACCAGTCCCGTTGTTGATTTTCGCAGTTTTTCCTTGCATCATGCTGTCATCCGCCCCCCCTTCTCCCCGCTCCACTGGAAAAAGTTTCCGGGGTAAAACCTGGTAGGTGAGTCGCGGTGAGGCTGAGGCGAAAAAAGGGAAGTATTAGTCGAAGTAGGTGTTGGGGAAGGGGAGGTCGTGCCAAGCCCCTTCCTCAGGGTAGAGGAGGTCGCACCGAGACCCTCTTTTAGCTGGGGATGAGGGGGGGGGGCGTACCGAGGCCGTACTGACACGACCATTTCACACATCACGATGCGATACTGTGTTCTGTAGTCCTGTAGACACATCCTTGCTCATTATAGGACGTTCCTACATGTTACTCCTCGGAATGCAATCCTTATGAAACTCATTGTCAGGTTTGCGCCGGGCTGACAATTGCTTCATCCTTGTTGTACATAAAAGCACAAGCAAATGCAGTGCAGTTCATAAAAAGCAGCAGAAAATGCTATGTAACCACGTGTGATTCCGGAAGATGGAATAAGTTTTGCAGGCGTCTGCGGTTATCATTATTTCGGCCCACCCTGTGCAGAACGGATCGTCCCGAATAAGGGTATTCTTCACAATCTTCATAAAAAAACGAAAAATAGAAAAGGAAACGAGATTGAACTCACTCCTTGGCTCCGAACCATATACGAATGTTTGCAATATTCTTCAATTTCTGACCAATGTAGTGTAACTTTCGCACGTAGTATGACCCAATATCTACAACGAAAGCAAGGATTCAATGGTAATCATTTTACTGAGCAAACAACTTTTTAAGGGTTCAGTTCATATAGATCGTAGAAGCGGAATCACAGTCACCCTCCCGCCATAGTCTTTATTACGTCTCTCTTCTGAAAATGATTGACGAATCAGTGGGCAAGAACGAAGGCCTAACTCCGCCCATATGACCAACGTGCACCGTGGCTTTGACGGCTGCTTCATCACTGGCTAGCATAAAAGCTTGATGGAAATATTCATAGTAATTCAAAGAATAGAGTCCTTTCTTGACATCGGCACAATCAAAAGCAAGCTTGAAGTAGAGGACGAAAATGACTCACCTAATGCGATTGTCGAAATTGCTAGTCCAATGCATACATAGAGAATAACGATTGGAATGTACCAGTTACTAAAGAAATGTCATAGATTCCAATTACTTCATCATTGATGTCTTAATTTCTACACAGGTTTCACATGGTTTGGGCGAAAGTACACTCCGTATCCCAGAAATGGGATTCCGTAGCTGCCTACTTCATTTGAACGTGGTGGCAGCTGCTCTTCTGAAGGGATATTGCAGTCGGAACAGCTGCAACTATGATTGTGTCCAGTGCAAGATAGGACAGCACTTGTATCAAATGGATATATCCCAGTAACAACGCATCTTACGCCATGTTCAAGTAAAGTACGCAGCCACGCCCACTCCATCGCTGGTATGTGCAGTGTAATAAACAGCGCAACAGTCGTCAAGTCTGTGACTATATCCCGTCTTGGTCAATCAAGTTTTCAACCATCCGGTGTGGTTACTTACAATTAGTGCTGAACAGGAAATCGAAACATAGGACGACTTGCAAGTAGATCAGATCGCATTCAAAATGCCCCTGTGATTTTGAAGCAGAGGCAGAATGTGTGGCAATAGGATTAACGCCGTACGTTCTAGTCTTTTGCTTCGAAGGATCCGAGTGCAGTTTCGCAAATTAGTGCCCCGATTTTTGCGACGTTTTGACTTTTGAGGGTTCCCTGAGGATGGCACTAGTATCGGACCAAAATCGAATTCAACTTCTTGGCACTCTCATCGAATTCCCGTCAACGGATATCCGTCGGCTGTCAGAGTGGACTTACGTACTTGTCAGGCACCAGATCTCCATACTCAATGGCCGTCAGACAGATGAATGCAAAGTATATGCCATTGAAAAAATCAAGCTGTCCATGAAGGAGTGGAATGAAGAAGGCGCCAAGTAACTGAAATTTGAAAAAAATTATAGTAATATAGTAATAATAATTATTATACTATTATCATTATTATTATCATTATTATTGAGGCTGGGGTGGTGTAGTGGCAATTGGCACGCTCACCGCGCCCGCAGCCTAGGATCAAATCTCGGTTCGACTCCCACCTAACCATAAGACGACCGAACTCATCCTATTTTGGAGCATTTTGGTATCAGATGCGATGTGATTGGGGCGTGATCTGGGCTCCGCACGGTGGGAGCTTCGGTGAGTTGTTTGTAATTATTACCGGGAAATTCAGAGTCTGGATACCAGCTCAGAAGCGCTAGAGTGGGGAGAGCGTTCCGTCCGTTAGGTAACCAATTCAAAGCTTCAAGCCGTAGTATCCTGAAGAAAAGTGGAGGGTCGAAAGCGCAGAACAAAATGGTCCCATCTAACCCCCGCTTGGCAGAAGTAACTGAACATTTGACAACAAGGGACAACGTGAAGATTATTAGACGACCAGCTCCAACAATTTTCATGTGGCGCATTCACTGGCCTTCTCACTGGAGTTTCTCGAAGTGTTTGCTATGGATGCATCAAAGCTCTGGATGTCATCTTTAGGTTGCCATTCGGACAAAAAAATTTCCCTCATGAATGCTTCGAGAAGAGCGCGGTAACAGACCTCTGAAAGCATTCATGAGAGAATTTTTGTCTCAAATGACAGCTTGTCTCATGCAGTGCCTTTGATGGACATTGCTACGGTTGATGCTTCAGAGACTGGGGTCAGCGATAAAACCAGGCGAGTGCTGTCGTGCTTCTGTTGATCACTATAAATGGAAACCATGCAGGGGGAGGGATTGAAACATATCTTTAAATAGTCTTTAAATATGGAAAAACGCAGTTATTAAAAAGGAAGCACTGAATAGGGTTTACAAGTCCTGTATATAGACCAAAAATAGTCTGACCCTACAGGATTCCGGTCACGTGAAAGGCTTTGTCTCCCAGGACGTGAGCATACCTGAGCTTCAATAGATTCCTACTGAATACGCGTTCAAATGCCTCCACAAACCTGAGTGGAAGGTAGTCACTAGCACTATCCCATATCGTATCCCAAAGGCATGGGCAATCTACCTTTTCGAGGCCCTCTCAATTATAGTGTGAAAAAGCCTAGTTGCAAGTTAAGTCAAAAGGTATTTCAGTGCCTTGTCAGTAGGTCTAGGTTGCGGCAGAAAGAGGCTCTCCGAGCGGCATTTCCTAGCTTGGTTCAAACTCATGTTCGCTGGGGCGTGTCAAACAAGGATGAAAATCCATTATTTTCCTTTTCTTCCTGCAATTGACAAGAACGGGCCGGTAGCGCAACCCTCCCCCTCTCCATACTGACGCTTA